CTGTAAGCCCTGGTAAAGCAGGGATTCTGAGGGTGGCAGCAGGAGCCCATATTTTCACGAGTCCTCCAGGTGACTGGCACACGCTGAAATATGAGAAGCCCTATGTCAAGCACACAGAGAAGCCTCAGTGTAAGAGCAATGTAAACTTGTAAATTATGGGTGATGATCCATTACAGGATGACCATTTCCAGTACAGGCGATAGGCCAGAGCAATTCTCTCTGTGGCCCTTGAAAGGAGTAACTTCCACAAAAAGAACTATCAGGGCCTGTGATGGGCCTGACACTCTTCAGCAAGGACACACACAGCTCATCATAACCCTTTTACAAAGCAGCTGATGATTTTGTAATGGTAACTGTTTTCTTTTCTCCATCATAGATAGTGGCGTCACCCAGAAAAAGGTGGTATTGGCATTTGACCAGGAAGTAGCTTTCCTCCCTCGTGAGGGCTATAGCTCCCCAAACTCCACACATACCACAACTGCCCACTTAGGGCCCTGTTGAGCCCTGGCTTCTGGGAGCTTGCACACACACAGAGAAGAGCCTCCTGTAAACAGAAGGCTCTGTAATTAACTAAAGGAAGGGGCTTGTTTTCTAGAATGTTCCAGCTGCAATGAACCTTAGAATCTTTCTAGAGCTCTATAAACAAGAAGCATCTTCAGGAACCAGAATTGTACACTGATAGACTTTTTCCAACTAGCTCCTGCACAGTTAAAGATGTCAGGCTCATTAAGTATAGCTATGAAGTACCTCTTTCATTTTTGGTAATGCATTAACTTATTAAATAATTATTCATTAAATATATATTGTGTAGCAGGCCCTGTGGCAGGCACATCAGTTGGTGACCGCGAATGTTAGTTCTGGCTTCAGATCACCTGCAATTAAATGCTGCTTCTACCACTTAATTGTCGCTATTCCTGGATGGCAAAATGGTTCAGCATTTGGTTACTAGCCAAAAACCTGGCAGTTCAAATCCCACTAGAGGGATCTTACAAAAAAGGCTATTGAAAATCCTATGGAGCACAGATCTCTAAAAACATGAGGTTGCCACTAGTAGGAATGGTCTCAACAGTAACTTAACTAGCTACCAGGTCATTAGCTCTCTACTTAATCCCTCTTGTTTCAGGTTCCATATCTGAAAATAAAGGCGAAATGATAATACTATTTATCCATTTCAACCACTATGAGACTGGCTCAGGACAGGGAAGGGTTCAGAGCTGCTATACATGGCAGGTGACTCAATGGCACATTAAAAAAACAAACCAAACAAACCACTATGAAGATTTGTTGTTGTTGTTGTTGATTGCCTCACGTCCAATAGCAACCCTATGGACAAAAGGCCTGAAGCCCCTCTACAACTATTGACATTTATCAAAGTTTATAGAGTTTCTGGAAGCATGTTGTTTAGGAAGTGGATGCCACTTCTGTTTCTCAACCTGTCATAGTATGTTATTATGAATATTTAGGAATAATATAATACAAAAGTATCAATAATGGCTAACTATTAGTAATAATAATAATAACTCAGTTGGGGCAATGACAGATTTTGTGGTGGTTTTGGGGTTCTATTGAGTCAAAACTCACTAATAGCTGACCCTCCACTGGATTTTCAGAAGTTATAAATCATTGGGGAGTCTATTTCCCATCTTTCTCTCAAGAAATGAACTGGTAGACTCAAACTGTGTGTCTTTAGATTAGCAGAACAAATCCTTACTACTAGGCCACCACAATTTTAGCTTACTTGGATCCACCATCAACACACTTGGTACCAGCAATTAAGAAATTAAAAGATAAATAATTAAAAGATAAATAGCTCTGGGAAAATCTGCAAGCAAGAATCTCTCCAGAGATTAAGGAACAAGGATGCCTGTTTAAAGACTAAGGTACACCTGATTCAAGCCATGGTCTTTTCAATTACTTGTTACACATCTGAATGTTGGACAACAACTAAGAATGACAGAAGATGAATCAATGCCTTTGAGTTGTGGTGTTGGAGAAGAGAACGGACTCTCTCATGGACTGTGAAGAGAACAAATAGGTCTGACCTGGAGGAGACTGAACCAGGGTGCTTTTTGGAGGGACACTAAAATTCCATCTTGTATATTGTCAGGAGGGACATTATTCTTTGAAGGTGAAAGGTTCGCATAAGAATGGAAGACCTCCATAGCCATTGGTGAGAGTCAGTGCCCAGAGCCATCAGGGGCTTTAAGCTCGTTGCCCACTGCTGTGGTGTGGACAGCTGAAACCCAGGCCCCGACAGGCACCTGGGGGGGGAAAGGGAAACCCAGACTCTACTTCATGCTCTGCTGGAGA